CACACAGGAACACAATAACCAGGCTTAACTAGGGATACTATTACAATTCATTGACTATAAATTGATTAGATAGTAAAGGTAAAGGTTTCCCCTTGACATTAAGTTGAGTCCGACTCTGAGGGGTGGTGCTCATTTCCCTTTCTAAGCTGAATAAAAGGTCATGTGGCTGGTATGATTGCATGGAGCGCAGTTACCTTCCCACAGAAGCAGTACCTATTTATCTACTCATATTTGCATGTTTTCAAACTGCTAGGCTGGCAGAAGGTGGGCCTAACAGCAGGGACCTCACTCTGTCTGCGGATTCAAATCGACGACCTTCCGGTCAGCAAGTTCTACAGCTTAGAGGTTTAACCCACTGCACCACCGTGGTCCCATAAAAATTGATTAGATATTGCCAGTTAAGTCATGCTGATACATTTGAGAATATGCTTAAGGGTTGTGGAGATTAGGACAGAACTTACTGAGTGGGTTGGTGCACAATAGCAACCTATGAGGCTACACCACTCCGAAAGGCTGATAGTAATGAGCAAAGGTTACATCATATGTGTTTCTAAGAGCAGGACCAGATGACTTCTCCAGATCCCTAGAATGAAAACATGTTCTTGGAACAAATGTTCTTCTAGATATTTTGGATTTCAGCTCCCAGAATCCCTGACCACTCTCCGTGCAGAAAAGTTAGGCTTATGGAAGCTGGAAACCAAAATGCTGAGAGAAACAAGGACTGAGAATGTAGACATGGTTGAAATTCACTTTTATAACGTAGAATTGCTTTCCATTGTAGTGAATTCACATCAGTTCATTAGCTTCTATCACAATGCATACTCAATATATTTTTCTCAGATATCAGGCATCTCAATTTCTACCAACATGTTTTAAAATTTTAGCAACATTAATACAATTTTAAATAACATCCCAATGATAAATCTGTTACCATTTGATGCTCTGTGAGCTATTCAAACAACCTTACTGCTAAATTATGCATGCAAGATTCTAGAGTGGGGTAGGATTCATTCCCTTGAGAGTAATCTATCAGTGGTCAAAACCAAACAATAGATAGGGTCATCCTTTTCCTTCTTTCTGTTAACCCCCAAGGGTTGCAGAGGAAATCGGAGATGGTTCTGGTGGCAGAGATTCGAATACAAAGCTTGCAAGGCTCAAGGGAACTTTGTAGAGCATTTCAAAAGGCATCAAGCCAACTGGGCGAGTTGCTAGTTCAACACATCACTTCCCTGCTCCACCACAAACAATGGGAACAGATAGAGACATTTTGTCTCACGACAGCATGATTAAAGAAAGGCCTAACGTTTTCCCAAGCAACTTTCACCTCTAACCCTGAAAATGGGCAGAATGCCACTTTGAGTCTCCTGCAGGAGAGATAAAATGGAATAATAATAATAAATAAATAAATAATAATAATGGAGAAAGGCAGGGAGTTTCAGAAAAACATCTATTTCTGTTTTATTGACTATTCTAAAGGCTTTGACTGTGTGGATCATAATAAATTGTGGCAAGTTCTTGATGGTATGGACATACCAAATCATCTTGTCTATCTCCTGAGGACTCTGTATAACAGCCAAGTAGCAAAAGTAAGAACTGACCATGGAACAACAGACTAGTTCAAGATTGGGAAAGGAATATGGCAGGGATGTATACTCTCACCCGACCTATTCAACTTGTATGCAGAACACATCATGCATCATGCAGGGCTTGACAAAGCCAAGGCTGGAGTTAAAATTGCTGGATGAAACATTAACAACCTTAGATATGCAGATGATACCGCTTTGATGGCTGAAAGCAAGGAGATGAAGAACCTTCCAATCAAGGTGAAAGAAGAAAGTGCCACATCATGAGAAGACAGGGAAGCTTGGAGAAGACAATGATACTGGGGGAAATGGAAGGAAAAAAGAAGAGAGACCGACCAAGGACAATATGGATGGATGTTATCCTTGAAGTGACTGGCTTGACCTTGAAGGAGCTGGGGGTGGGGGTGGGGGGGGGCACGGCTGACAGGAAGCTCTGGCATGGGCTAGTCCATGAGGTGACGAAAAATTGGAAGCAACTGAACGAATAAACAATAACAAAAAAGGCAGGTTGCTTGATACTTCGGGAGACATTATCGGAATTCCCCCTAGCTAATGTGATTTGGGGCAAAATTCCTTAACAACCTGGTAAAACAGTTATTGGTAAAACAATGGGCAAGAGAATTTATCCAGAGTTCTACTGGTCTCTTCTAGCCAGCACCATTCGATCACAGACACGAAGGAAAACCCTGGATACTGGGAAGAAGAGTGCTACATATTCGGATATTCATGCTGAGTGAAACATAAGCGGGCCACATCTGAACAGGGAAGGAAGGAAATATAATCCATCCGCACAGCTCCTGGAAGAGTACCTCTAGAAAAGAAGATCCCAAAAGAATGGGAATTAAACAGCCCAACTGATTGAGCCTGGACAAGGCTGTGGCCTTGTTTTGTCTTGTCTAACACCCAAGTCTTTTCAATGGAACCTGATAAAGAGATCTGCTCCATTCATCCTAAGCTCTGAGAACTGAGTCATGCGACTGCCCCTTTTTCAGTCCCTGCGCAGATAATATCTATAAGTGAGCAACTGTTTAGTGTGGAATACATGAACAAGACAGCAAAGCAAGTGGATATTTTCACTGCATGATTTGCATATGGAGAGAGATGGCAAATACTCTGCGGAAACTGAAAATGCACTTGAAACAGGTTTTAATTGACATCCTCACCTAGAAATAGACGGAAAAGGTGGGGAAAAGATTTCCAAGTATTTCTTTCTCTGAAGTCTCCCAAGATGCTTCAAGTGGAGCGGGATGGGTATCCAGTATCAATGCATTCATCCCTTTAAATAATATGGTAACCCCAAAGGACATTTCATGGCCAACTGGGCAACTTCTAACTAAAAGATCCCATATTAAGCTCTATAACCTATGTGTTGACTGAATCCATAGGTATCCTCTGGAACAAAGCAACAGGATCCCACCTCCATCATTATTTGACTGCAGAACAATGTCTAATCCTGCTTCCTGCTTGGTGAAACTGATTTAGTAGATCAGACCTGCTGCAATCAATTGAAAACAGAATCTCTCACAGCTTGGATGTTTACTTCTTTGGGTGATGATGAAGTACTTTGAATCTAACCATGATTTCTGAACTCCCTGAGTGAAACAAAGCCAAACAAATCTTTCAAAATGTCAATTTCTGCTCAAACACAGCCCTGACCCATAAGAATGAGAAAAAATGGGGTTTGCACCCTCCACATATCACAAAAAGTATGTATGTGCTTTCAAGTTCTCCAGAACTTTTCAGAAAGCTGAATGATATACATTTTTAATGGATACAGGAAGAAAGCAAAATTGAAAAATCTGGCCAATGTAGTGGTCTTCAGACTAATTCCCAAAATAAAGATTGAAGAGTATTAAGCTCTTATAAAAGAAACAGTTTCCACCCTTTTTAGTTACCATATATACTCGAAGATAAGCTGAGTTTTTTAGCCTTTTATGAGCTGAAAAAGCTGCCCTCCGCTTATAATGGGGTCAAGCCTGGCAGCAGAGTCTGGAGGACATTGCTTGCAATATATGATATATTTCTCTTCCTCCCATAACAGTGTGTTTTCTTTACCAGGCAAAGGGGAGGGAAGGAGGGAAAGGAGATATATTTCATGTCATCCTTGTTTGTATGGCTCTCTTTCAAACCCACCCAATTTCCTGGCTTTTTTGTGTGTATCTAAATGTATTAACTTTATATGTGTATTTTGTTCCCTTGGAAGTTTTCCCCTCATATGTTTGCAGGTCTTTGCAAATCCTATATACATATAGATATGATTTCCATGTACCTGTATATCTGTATTTATATGTATACATTATTTTTATATACTACTTTTCCCCTCAATTGGTTTCAAGTCTTTGCAAATCTTAGATAGATAATAGAGGTAGCTATACATCTGTAATCTGTGTGCGTAAGTGTGTGTATAATTCTATATAAGAATTTTCCCCTCACATGTTTGCAAGTCTTTACAAATCCTATACAGATATAATTATCTATATATAGAGAGATGTCTATATGTGTGTGTGAATATAGATATATAAGGCTTGCAAATACTGTAGGAGAAAAATGCACATTTATAGAGAGAGAGGATTTGCAAATGTTTCAGGGGGAAATACATATGTGAAATTAGTATTTATAATTATAGATATATATCAAGCTCTGCATTGTTTATATAGGCATTGAATGTTTCCATGTTACTATGTTGGAAGCCAGCCTGAGTCCCCATGGGGACATTGAGCAGGATACAAATGAAGGTATTATTATTATTATTATTATTATTATTATTATTATTATTATTATGTTATTGTTTATACCATATTGTTTTTGCTGACCCTACTTTTCCAATTACAAAGCTAGTTTACTGTTTTCCTTTAGAATACATATTAAATATTCAAAAACATTTAACCTACTGATGACTCAATTAATGTAATTGTATTGCTATCTATTTTTATTGTGAAATTTACCAGCAGCTGCTGAAGCTCCCACCCTCGGCTTATACTCAAGTCAGTAAGTTTTCCCAGCTTTTGTGGTAAAATTATGTGCCTCAGCTTACATTCAGGTCAGCTTATACTTGAGTAAATACAGTAAGTACAGAACTCGACATTCCACAAAACAATTGATTTAAAAAACTGTTATCACTGTGCTTTTTTGTGAGCATGGTATTTTCTTTATAGCCTACCAGAATAGGTGAGATGGCCAAAATACAACAAGATGGACTGTTTTTTATCCTGCCGTACTCTGTTGCTGCTCAAACCTTTTCTTTGATCTAGAATTCGCTTCCTTTCAGACACACTGGGGGGCAAGAGGGAGCATCTTCAAATACATATCATTAACCGCTAAATGCCCCTGCCCTCTGGTATGTCTTTTCTCAGAGGCAGTAGGCTTTATAGAATGAAAGATTCCTGGCACAAGAAACATAAGCCCAGGGTGATCTACCTGAATGGGTCCTACCGACATCAGCAGGTTTTTCAGTTGGACATCGGTGGTTGACGAAGAAAGCCCTTCAACTGACACAACGCAGGGCTGAGGCTTGCACTCTACCACTCGCAGGTTCTGTTTATTTGGCATCAAGCGTCCTCGGCCCATCTGGCCTGCCAGGCCTCGGCCTCTCCCGTGAGGAATGACCTGCCAACAACAAAAGTAAGGTTGCATCCTTGATTTGCACGCTTCCTCTTAACCGAACCTGACAGATTAACACCAAAGTTAGCAATTCACTTAGAAGGAGATGATGAAAGCAAGAGCTGATTAAACGGTGTCGCGTCGCTGCTGGCAAGATTTTAAAGGCTTGCACATTAGCTCATTTGTTGGACTGACAGCCAAACATCTCCAAGGCAGGCTGTTTCTTATACATGGGGAAATACAGGGAAATTCCAACAAAATTCCTAGGGAAAAGGACCAGCATCAGAAAGGTCTTAGCTGTGCTTAAATGCCTATGTAGCTTGGTCCTATCCCTTTTCTGCCCTAGAGACTGAGACTTGGTAGTATCATTTGGTGCCCTGGGCTCTTGACTTTCACCTGTGGGACCAACCCAAGTCAGTCCTCCCCACAATGAAACTAGGCCATGAATGACTACTGGAGACCAATAGAAAGATGATTCTGCTCTGGCCACATGGGATTGTGGACTCTGAGACTTGTGGTCAGTAAAACAAGTGTTCCAAGTCTGGAAAGAGTGCTGCTGTACAGAATGGCAATGTGTTTACTATGGGTTTGCAGAATGGATGAATCCATGTTCCTCCAAGTATCTCTCTCAACAAGCACAGTCAACACATAATGTATTTCTTCCATTCTAAGACACACTTTAACTCCCATATAAACATCTGTTCACTGATGATGTTCAACTCTATTACTCTTTTCCACCTGCTACTAAAGAAGCTGTTCAGGTCCTGAACCGCTGCTTGGCAGCTGTGACAGCCTAGATGAGGTCGAACAAATTGAGATTGAATCCAGACAAGACTGAGCTACTCCTGGTCAGTCGTAAGGCTGAACAGGGTATAGGGTTACAGCCTGTGCTGGATGGGGTTACACTTCCCCTGAAGGCTCAAGTTTGCAGCTTGGGGATTCTCCTGGACCCATTGCTGAGCCTAGAACCCCAGGTTTCAGCGGTGGCCAGGGGAGCTTTTGCACAATTAAAATTTGAGTGCCAGTTGCGCCCGTACCTTGGGAAGTCAGATGTGGCCATAGTGGTCCACGCTCTGGTTACATCCTGAAAAGATTACTGCAATGCACTCGATGTGGGGTTACTTTTGAAGACTATTCGGAAGTTTCAAATGGTCCAACGGGCAGCAGCCAGATAGCTTACTGGAGTGGGGTACAACCCCCCCTGTTACATCAGCTCCACTAGTTGTCAGTCTGCTACCAAGCACAATTCAAAGTGCTGCTTTCAGCTTATAAAGCCCTAGACGGTTCAAGCCAGGCTTACCTGTCTGAACGTATCTCCCTCTATGGCCCACCTCAGAAGTTAAGATCATCTGGGGAGGCCCTGCTCTTGATCCCACCACCTTCACAAGCACGATTGTTGGGGACAAGAGATAGGGCCTTCTTAGTGCTGGCCCCTCATCTATGAACTCCCTTCCCAATGAAATCAGGTGAGCTCCCTCCCTCCTGTCTTTCAGGAAGAAGCTAAAGATGTGGCTGTGGGTCCTAGTGCAATAAGGATAATGGACTAATGGGATTGACAATTTGACAGGCCTTGGACTACGATTTGGATTACATGATTTTAATTGATGTTTTAATAATTAATGTTTAATTGTATGGTTTTAATTGTATTTGTTTATTTTTTTATTTATATGTATCAAATCGCTGCCTGCTATAAGGCTGCCCTGAGTCCCCTTTCAGAGTGAGAAGAGCAGGATACAAATATGTGAAATAAATACATAAATACCCCAAATGTTTTGGATGTGTCTTAAAATTGGGAATGATATTATCTGTGTGCATCTTACAATTGATGGCCTCTTAAAATTGAAGAAATTTGGTATTATTATCTTTTATCACACAGACAGGAATGTGTCTAGTGTTGCTTAGCCAAGTTTGGCAGAAAAACAATAAGCTCGTAGAATTATGAGTATGTGCCACGCCACCACTAAATCAAAGTCTTGTAATATAAACTTTCTTTAAACACAAACAAAACCTGAGCCAGATGGAAAATTGTGTCTGGCCATAGAGAGACTGCACCCATACATACCTTTTTTGCCTGATGTATTCCTGGGATGTTTTTCAGCCCAGGAGGAAGTGTTGAATGGATCTGCGCCAGCTGATGAGGATGAAGGTGAGGGTGAGGGTGAGGGTGAGGGTGAAGCTGGTGCGGCTGCTGCACTGTCCCCTTCGTCAGGGTGACTTTCCGGACTGGCTGATGCCTCTGTTCTGGGAGCTGCTGGAGTCGGAGGGGAGGCCCTTCCAAGTGAGGAAAGCCAACGTTCTCACCGCCCTGCGAAGGGGGAAAGATACAGCACACAGTTCAAGGTCTGCATAACACAATAACTGATCCTTGCAACAGCTATTTAGAGCAGGCAGGGACAAGCTTAATCCCTCCAGGCATTTTGAACTTCAACTTCCACAATTCCTAGGCTGTTAGGAATTGTGGGAGTTGAAGTCCAAAACACCTGGAGGGCCGAAGTTTGCCCATGCCTGCTCTAGCCAGCACCAATACAAAGGTTCAGCTCAAAATGGAACCCTATTGTTATTCCCACTTAAACTAACTCATTCATTGAATCGCCATAGGTTGAAGTCAACTTGACAGCAGTTAACAGCAACAAAAACAAAGAGAGTGATTAGCCCAAAGGTATCCAGCAAGTTTCATGACTTTCTGGGAACTTGAACCCTTGTCCACTGGGTTCCATACTATACCACTGTACCATATTGTTTCTCTCAATCTGCAGTATACGTGTCTCATCAAGACAACAGATCAGTCAAAAACATTAATGAAACCTTCTAATGAGCTTCTTGACACGAATGTTATTCTGCTACTTCCTACAAATATTTATTGTAAAGCACAAATATTGTATTCTGATACATTTACTATAATCAATGGGGAAGAAAGGCTATTGAGTGTGATATTGACAATCCCAGCGCTATAGACAACAGAACAATCAATAGTAAATATTGCATTAAAGTCAATTTAAGTATATTTCTATATTAAATCTATAGAAATATAGATTTAATAATCATTTATAAGTGTGGGGTTTTATTTGGGAATGACTGGGGAAAACTGTATCTTTAGTTATTAAATTAATCTTTCCAAATGAGTGTTGTTAAGTATGCTGGTGTAATTTGTCAATAATTATTGCGGGATTTTTTGGGTAATAATGACATTTAAATCTAAAGACCAACAGTATATATAATGACCTACTTATCTATGGATTCAATATCCACAGTTTTACTTATCCCTGCTTCAAAAAGGTCCCTCCCTCAAGTGTTTGGGTGCCTCACTAAGTTCCCCAATGTGATTCAAGGGAAAGCTTCTTGTGCAAGGACAGTCAAAATATAGGGTTTGGCTATTATCCACAGCTTCAGATATCCACCAGTGGATTGTTGAAGGCTTTCATGGAATCACTGGGTTGTTGTAGGTTTTCTCGGGCTATATGGCCATGTTCTAGAGGCATTCTCTCCTATCCACAGTGGGTCTTAGAACCTATCCCTCACAGATATGGGCGGGTCATACTGTGTTTTAATCTATTTTAGGATTTTTTGAAATTCCCCAAAGTATTCTAACCTTCACCCTTTACCATACTCCTTGATCTTATGACCTGCCACGAGACCATGTACCAAACTTGTCCATTCTGACGCAGTCATGTCTAAAACATATGGCAACATGATAGCACATATTTAATACCAATGTCAGACTGATAACCATTAGAACCAAACTTTTACTCAAGCCTTTGTCTCGCGCAACCTCTCCATGTCATGACAATGCCATTAATTGCTTCAAGGATGTGACAGCAGAACAGTCAGAGCAGCTCGGCACTCATTTGCTAGTTCAGCAATTCTATGAATTGACCTATTAACAATGCATAAGCATTGTTTCGGTAAATTTGCCAGAGTTGTAACCTCAACAATAAAGTATAGCCTACAGCCCTAGGTAGTACATGGACAGTAGGCCACCATTTAATACATATTTAAGAGGAAGCAACTGTCAAAACCACTTCTTACCTAAGAAAACCTTATGAAATTCATGGGGTCACCATTAAGTCAACAGAAACTTGAAGGTCTCTCAAACAAACTCCATTTGAATTTAGATCATTACATTTCATACTGCAAGTTGCTTCTGGTATTGTACCACCTGACATCCGTCAGGAAGTAGCAGACAGTAATGAAAGGACCAAGACATTGACATCTCCGGCCCATCCCGTTTGGATATCAGCCAGCAAGTCAATGCTTTAAATCAAGAAATAGCTTCCTAAGATCAGCAGAGATACTCTCAGGAACATCTCGGCAAGTGAGAGTCCAAAAGTGGCAGGCAAAAACCCGGAACCTAAATCAGTGGATGATACTGGATGTGTATTCCCTCCTAGGTACACAAAAGACTGGATGACTTGGAAGGGACTGAACAGATTGCGCTCTGGCACCGCGAGATGCAAAGCCAATCTTAAGAAATGGGGCTACAAAGCAGAGTCGACAACATGCGAGTGTGGAGAAAAGCAAACCCCAGACCACTTACTACAATGTAGTATACAATGTAGTCTGAGCCCACCACATGCACAATGGAGGACTTTCTCACAGCGACACCAGAGCCACTCCAAGGGCCCTTCCACACAGCCTTTTATCCCAGAAGATCAAGGCAGAAAATCCCACAATATCTGAGTGGACATAGATATCCATGTGGACATAGATAACCCAGTTCAAAGCAGATATTGCAGGATTTCCTGCCTTGATATTCTGGGATATAGAGCTATGTGGAAGGGCACCAAGTGGCCAGTTTTTGTATAATGCCAAGTTTTTAACTTTGTTTGTGTTTTTTAAAAATACATTATAACTCAATTTGCTTCTGACATGATCAATAAATGACCACATTTCATAAACCCTCTAAAAGGTTAATATCTGCCATATACTAAGGGCCCTTCCACACAGTCCTATATCCCAGAATATCAAGGCAGAAAATCCCACATTATCTGAATGTGGACTCTGATAACCCAGTTCAAAGCAGATATTGTGAGATGTATTGTCGAAGGCTTTCATGGCCGGAATCACTGGGTTGTTGTAGGTTTTTTTCGGGCTATATGGCCATGTTCTAGAGGCATTCTCTCCTGAAGTTTCACCTGCATCTATGGCAAAATCCACAAACATGTGGACAATTTCAACATAAAGGAGGAAACCATGAAAATGAACAAAATCTGGCTACCAGTATTAAAAAAACTCTAAAATTACAACAACAAAACAACAGAGAGTAAACAATCTGGGACATCTAATCACCTCTCAACAAAAGATTGCCCCAGGCACTGCCAGGCCATCAAATGCTAATCAAGGTGGTCAGTTGAAACATTCATACCTAGCTCCAGCAGACAAGAGTCCTTTGTCCCACCCTGGGAATTCCACAGATATATAAACTCTTTTTCCTAGTTCCAACAGACCTCACTACCTCTGAGGATGCTTGCCATAGATGCAAGCGAAACATCAGGAGAGAATGCCTCTAGAACATGGCCATATAGCCTGAAAAAACCTACAACAACCCAGATATTGTGGGATTTTCTGCCTTGATATTCTGGGAGAAAGGGCTGTGTGGAAGGGTCTTAAGTGAGAAACCAAGAGGAAGATTATATGTTTTTGAGCCAGTAAAAAAGGAGGAACTCTGGTCACTACAAATGCTGAACTTCAAATTGGTCTTCAAATACCAAATCCCCTTCACTGCTCCATCTTAAAATGCGAACATTGAAAAATCAATCTGGAAACTCATTATTGTGCTTACATTTGATCACAAATACTTCATAGTAAAGAACCAAATCCTTACTCATTTTCAGTGGCGCACAAGCTAGAGATGTTGCACTCAAATGTGCATTGATGTGATTTCCCTGCAGCCTGAAAGGTCTCATGGTTAAAAAGGTAAGACTTCAAAACACAACCAAGAATGGAACCCAGCTGTCTCCAGTTCAATGGTCTATTTGTAGAAATATAATCTAATCCCGACCAAAAATCTTAAGAAAACCTGCTGTATTCATAAACAAAGTTACACGTTTTAATAAGTAAGATCTAAGAAGTGTCAGAACGGAGGATGTCCTGACAGTTTCACAATGACGATGAGGTTTGTTTGCCGCCAATATTAGCAGGACAAATTTATTTATAACCAATGCTTTGAGGATGTTCTGATAAAAGAAACCCTTGCCCCTTTGATACTGTCAGAGCTCCTTGCAATTTGACAGATCAAATCTTATTTTAATTCTTAAAGCGCCTCGAATGAGCGATATCACCGACGTGCATCCTGTAGTGAGCAAATTGATTAATCCCCTTCTATAGAAATCTCAACTCTTGATTACACCGATCAGACGTTAAGCAGCATTATTCCAGAGTGACAACACTTGACAAATTCCCCAACCATCTCTCTCAGCCTTTGTGGCCCTGCTAGCTTGCATTAACCCTGATGAAAAATTAATTTTCCTTATCTTCGACTAAACCCCAAAATCCAAATCCGCCAAACTGGCAACTCTTTCTGTAAAGGTATTATGAAAACCTCCAAAAGATTAATTGCATGTCTTCAGGTGACATTAAATTAATTTCTATACTCATGACAGACATTTGATACTCCGTACTGAGAGGACAGATAACATTGTCAGGATACACAGAAGGACAGCGGCGGAGTGTCCCAGGGCCGCCTCTTATGAATTCTCCCTTTGATAAGGCCATACTTCGCTGTCAGCAGCACTGTTACTGATCTTGCAACCCATAGACCTCAATGCACAGGTTTCCATTAACGACGACAATGCTGTGTTTATCCATGTAATCTTTTCTAAAGCTAATTCCAAAAAAGGAAATCACCCGACAGTGAGGGGGATGTGCACGCTGGATAAAACATTTAGGGGAAATAAACTTGGGTTGATGTGCGAAGTGGCACATTGCAGGGATGCAGCCAGCTAACAAGCCACTCAGATCATAATATTTGGTGAAGCTGAACTAAATATGATGCCATGCACTGTTTACGCCAAAGGCACCAAAACAATCTGTATAGTAGGTTCTTGTGGGTTTTTTCGGGCTATAGAGCCATGTTCTAGAGGCATTTCTCCTGACGTTTCGCCTGCATCTATGGAAAGCATCCTCAGAGGTTGTGAGGTCTGTTGGAAGTAGGAAAAATGGGTTTATATATCTGTGGAATGGCTGGGGTGGGGCAAGGAGCTCTCCCTGCTGCAGTTAGGTGTGAATGTTTAGCTGATCACCTTCATTAGCATTTGAAGGCCTGCCTGAGTCTGGGAAAATCTGTTGCTGGGAGGTGTTAATCTGTGC